AGGTCCTCTGGAAGGTTTTGTCTGGAGGGAATGAATTTTACCTTTCTGAACTTTATCACACAGCAAGTAGACCTCGTCCCCTCCCCGCACGGAGCCTGCTGTCTTATCCATCCGCGAGATCTTCAGGTTGGAAGCTCCAGGGGACTCTGCACAGCAAGAAAGGGTATTGGGAGATGCCGGTGGCAGACAGCCTTTACCCTGTCCTGCCCTGTCCCATCCTCTCCCTGGCCTGGCCCCACACTCACTGCTGTCATGGATGGGGTCCGAGATGACGGGCTGGAGGGCCAGCGTGAAGTTTCCGCTGCTGTCACGGAGGTAGGCTGTGAAGCGCAACCGCACGATGCTCAGGTCCATCACCTTCTTCAGCTCCTTCGCCTCCAGCTCGATCTCGCGCTGCTCCGCTTCTGCCGGGGCAGGGGGAGATACTGTCAGGCTGGGCGAGGGGATAGGGGTCCGGGTCCCCCCACCTGCCCCCTGCTAACCCCAGTCCCTCAGCTGTCACACCAGGGTGCTGAGTCCCACTGAGCCCCCCAGGCCCTCACCCGTCAGTGCGTGGCTCCTGTTGCGTATCTTCTGCTGCTTCAGCTTTTCCTTCATGATCTCCATCATATTCTTCTTGGTGACATGGAGCACACCCAGGTTGCTGAACCTGGAGAAGAGGGATCCTGCTGGGATCTGGGAGCAGCTAGCCCTGGGGCACACGAGCTCCTGCAGCCAGGAAGGAGCTGAGCAAAGCACAGAGCGGTGCTGCTCGGGCCATGGGGGGTCAGTGTGTGCGGGGCATAACAGGGGCAACCACAGAGGAGAGGAGGCCAGAAAAGGGATGGCTGAAAAACTCCAGGCTCCCACAAGTGACAAGTCCAAAGGGGAGGACCAAGAGGGCTGGAGGCCAGAGGAATGCAAATGGGACCACGCTAAGCCAGCAGCCAAGGCTGGATTCATCAGAGCCACTGCAGCAGTTGCTGAATAACCCCAAGACTCAGGCTGGCTACAGAAGTCCTCTGCAAAAGCTGGGGAGCTGCAACCCCAAGGACAGAAGCCCAAAACAAGCTGCACCTGCCAGACCCAGAGCTGGGCAAAATGCTCAGGGGACAGAGCTGTACCGATGACCCTGCCTAAACACATTCCTAGCCCCATCCAGCAAACCCAGCTCCTGGATGCCCTAACCCCCCCTCTTCTCCCCAGCCTGTAAGCTGCAGCCAGGCCCCCAGCTGCCCCGTGTAGGCAAGAGGCCACCCCAAGTCTCCCTCGCACATACTGAGCCGTCATGTCCTTGGGTCCCACGATGGCGACGCAGTTGCCAGCCTCGTTGCACTGCTTGCCTACCAGGCTGTGAGCGTGCACGCGGGGAGGGTCGCTGTGCGTCACCAGGTCCACCTCGATCCGGGCCATCCCCGTGTAGTTGCAGATCTGGGGGGAGAAAGGAGATGGGAGTCAGGTACAACATCCCGGGGAGCCTGCAGGACTCTCCCCAAACCCCTGCTACCCCTCCCCAGGGCCACCAGCCCTCCTGCCACAGCCTGCCCATTCCTCCAGCGCCACAGGACACACAGAGCTTGATATACATTTCCCATCCTTCCTTGGAGGCACCCTCTCAGTGCTGTGCACACTGGCTGAAAACGCTGCCCTGTGCCCTCCCCAGGGCAGCGCTCACCTTGACGGTGGGATAGGTCTTGCGCCCCTTCTCGCTGGATGCTCCCGGCAGCCCCCCGTGTGACGGGCCCTCGCAGCCGTACCGAAACCGGAACCCGCGCTGCGAAGGCAAAGATGGGGTCAGCCAAGGGTGGCCCAAGCCATGAGAGCAGGGGGTAACGGCTACCCCTGGCCTGACCTGGCTGCCATCCTTACCTGCTTCGGCTGCTCGATGATGACAAGGTAGGGCCCTTCCACTGGAGGACAGAGAGGAGAGGCACCGGTGAGAAACACAGGATAACCAAAGTGCGTGCTCCCAGTAAGGATGCTGGAGGTTCGGGGATGGTGATGAAGATGAGATGACCCCTGCCCATCCCATGAGGGTCCTCAGGGCCCCTGTGCTGTCAGAGCCCAGCCAGGAGCAGCGGTCAGAGCAACAGGGAGAGGAGGGAAGGGCCAGAGGATTCTTTGGCACTCGGGGAGCAGGGAGCCCCAGGGGACCCATCAGAGCCCAACCTCAAGTCTCAGACTGAGCAGCAGGGCCAGACCGAACAGTCCCTGTCCCGGTGGCACGCGGCAGG